GACTCCTCCATCATCACGCCGTCCACCACCCTTCGCAAGCGGAAGGCCGACGAGGCAGACAACTACCTCAGCCCCGCCGAGGAATACCCCCATAAGAAGACCAATCACCCTGTTGTTACTCTACCAGCCACTCCCGCAACCGACGCCGGCAAGATGGACTCGGACGACGACTTCAACAGCTCCATGAGCGGCGACGACTTTGACGACCAGGACAGCGACCTGGACCTGGAAGAGGGTGCGCATCCCCCAGCTGCCGCCGAAGACACGTGCTAACACTGCCCAGACTCGGACTTTGACATGGACCAAGATGACGTCGGCTTTGAATCACAAGACAAGGACATCAAGCCCACGAAGCAGGCCTTCGAGGTAGACTTCAAAGTCTTCGACCCCGCCCAGATCCAAGCACAGCAAGACAAGCAGGTCGACGAAGTCTCGAGCATCCTCGGCCAGCCACCCGAAGCCGCCGCCATCCTCCTGCGGCACCTGCGATGGAACAAGGAGCGCCTGATCGACCAATACATGGAGAAGACAGACGAGGTCCTAGAGCTAGCGGGTCTGGGCCAGGACTCTACCACCAATCCGCCCAAAATAGAGACGATACCAGGCTTCGTCTGCGACATCTGTTGCGACGATGACGCGAACCTGCGGAGCTTCGCCATGAAGTGCGGACACCGGTTTTGCTTAGATTGCTACAGGCAGTACCTCGGCACCAAGATCCAAGACGAGGGGGAGGCTGCCCGCATACGCTGTCCCGGAGAAGGCTGCACTCGCATAGTCGACTCAAAATCGCTAGACCTTCTCGTTACGGCAGATCTCCAAGACAGGTACGTGATGATCGCTCTACTTTCCTCCGACATGCTAATAGTCGTAGATACCACACCCTCCTCACGCGAACCTACGTCGACGATAAAGAGAACCTCAAATGGTGCCCTGCGCCCGACTGCAAGTACGCCGTGGAATGCCCTGTAAAGAGCAAGGACCTCACCAAGATCGTACCAACAGTACACTGCGAATGCGGACACGACTTCTGCTTTGGATGTACATTGAACAACCACCAGCCTGCACCTTGCGCGCTGGTGAAGAAGTGGGTCAAGAAGTGCGAGGACGACTCAGAGACCGCCAACTGGATATCGGCCAACACTAAGGAGTGCCCGAACTGTAACTCTACAATCGAGAAGAACGGAGGGTGCAACCACATGACGTGCAGGAAGTGCCGCAACGAGTTCTGTTGGATGTGCATGGGCAAGTGGTCGGAGCATGGCACGAGCTGGTACAACTGCAATCGCTTCGAAGAGAAGAGCGGATCCGAAGCCCGCGACGCGCAGGCTAAGTCCCGGCAGTCGCTCGAACGATACCTCCATTACTACAATCGCTTTGCGAACCACGAACAGTCGGCGAAGCTCGACAAGGACCTCTACCTTAAGACGGAGAAGAAGATGCAACAGCTACAAAACTCATCAGGCATGTCGTGGATTGAGGTGCAGTTCCTTGATCAGGCTTCACATGCGCTTCAACAATGCCGACAGGTGCTTAAGTGGACCTACGCCTTTGCCTACTACCTCGCCCGCAACAACCTAACGGAGATCTTCGAGGACAACCAGAAGGATCTGGAAATGGCCGTCGAGAACCTCAGCGAGATGTTCGAGAAGCCAATCGATCAGTTAAAAGACCTCAAGGTCGATATCCTTGACAAGACTTCATACTGCACCAAGCGGAGGATCATCGTCCTCAACGACACAGCGGAGAACCTGAAGCTCGGTATGTGGTCCACACGCCTCCATGCACTCCTCCCTGAACTACTGCTAACATCAACAGGCACATGGAAATTCAACGTAGACCTAGTCTAGAAGCCTCCTAAACCTCGATCACAATTGCCTCTACTCACGTTTACGAGTACCACAAATACTCTTGGACTGAGAACACGGGTATGGCAGTATTAAGGATCGCTGTCAGGAGGTCTGCGCACGAAGTGCAATGGGCTAGCAAAGAAGATGGAGTTTCACGCTGTTTTTACGTTGCATTGGTCGGTTCCACTGGCGCTTGGAGAGAGGTATGGCATTGTTTGCATGGCGTTGATCAATCTGTGGTAATCAGCGGTTCAGCGGGCTAGGCTTAGCATTTTATCTTCTTTTATCTTCGACACTTCCACATACTCGACGCAGGTTCAGAGAAGATATCGAATTAGACGTTCAAATTTCAGTGTTGCTGTTGCTCTGGCGTCGTAATGGAGTGCTGTTTGAAATTCGAAGATTGTCAGTGGCTCTCGCTTCTACGAATCCGTCCCCGCACGACCATAGGATGGTAACCAGATTATGCTGTGCAAGCGAGGGCAAATAGTTCCGCTGCTTTTCTTTCATCCTCCATCGTCTCACATACGTACGCAAATTCCAATCCTACTCCGACCTGCAGACCAACCCAGACGCCGACATCGTCGCCGCCGAGGTCGACATCTTCGTCGCGAGCGACGTGAGTACCTCCCGGCCCCCCTATGATCACCCAGCCAGCACTAACAGAATTTTCGTATAGCTGATAATGACAACGCAAAATACCTATAGCCAGTTCCTGGAACTTCCGGCCGAACTGCGACTGATGATATACTCCTACGCTCTCACCAACTCCGTGCCGGTACTGGCTACTGTCATCAGCATCAACACTGACAGTGGCTCTATTCAAATTCCAAAACTCTACGCACAAGAGGAGCATCACACGCGGTACACTCTAGAGACCCCCCAAGTTCCAAAAGCCGAGTTCAACCAGCTTCGATATGTCTGCCGCCTACTGTGTCAAGAAACGCGGGGTTTGAGCCTGCGGTACAACGAATTGGTTTTCATGAAAGAGCCAGGAACGACAACACCGGCACAAGCAATATGCGCGAGGTTTTTAGAGGCCATTCCTGCCAGTGCACAAGCGAGAATCCGACAGATTACGGTCATCGCGGACACAGTGACGCCCAGGCCGTTGGAACACGCTTCGATCACTAGGGATTGTTGGTACGATATCGGGCAGCTGCTCACAGGCGGCGAATACCCTATCATACACTCATTCTGTCGCGCCAACCCAACTGCGAAAGTCGTGCTCCGCTATGACACTAGGCGTATGAACAAGTTCGGATACGAAAAACCCCTTGTGGTAGGCACCAGATACGCGCTGCTTCACGCTAGCCTACGCTTCTTCTTGCGTGGCTCTTCGGCTGTTGAAGCAGGCTTGCTCGAGGCAATGACAGGGGGTTCAAGTCATCCTCAACATCACTATCCCTACGGCTTGTGGAGAAAGATACATATTGCCGAGTGGGCAATCGCTACATGTATGATACCAGCGATAAAAACGACTCCGGATGCTGAGAAGATCTTCAAAGGGGCGCTATTGGACAATTTCAGAGTCACGATTTCTAGATGGTATCGTGTGCCGAGTCCGCTGTGGGTGATGAAGGATGAGTGGTATGCGGCCGCGAGGCGGGAGTTTGAGGAGGGGTGTTAGACGCGTTGGAGAAGTGGAAATGGAAGAAGAAGGGTCATATGGTGCACAATATAGGCTACGGGCAATATATAGCTTCATTTCCACCCCAAACTCTCCAAACACCAGACCACCGATATGCAAACTCCATCATCATCTTCCATAACCCTCATCTCAGCGCCTTCCTCAATTTCCTCATTTCATCACCCCTACCACTCATTATCCTCACCAAACCAATACCCTCCAGGCATGTTCACACCCCATCCGGGTTGGCCGAATGAATACGGATCACCCAAGCTAGCATGCATACGCGGTCCGCGGTTGGAGTAACGCGCGGTCTTCTCCGTAGCTCCGTTGAGTAAGGAGGGCTAACGCTGCGGTAGTCGTCTGAGCGGTATCCGCGACGTGGCTCCTCGTGGCGATTACGTGGTGGGGAGACGCCGCGGTTGTATGCGTAGGGGTTGTGTTGGGCCCATTCTTCGGGGGTAAAGCGGGGGTACATGGTTGGTTCTGATGGGGATTTGAGCTGGTGTGGATTTACTGGGTGGTCGTGCTTTGGTATTTCGTGTTGTAGAAATTGGCTAAGAGATGTAGTGGAGAATGAGTTGGCTTTGTTGATGTGGTAAAGGTGCAGGATAGCTCTGTGCTTTTATACGTGGGCTACATGATGAATGCATGGAGGACTGTGACCGAAGTATGAAGTGTTGCGACAAGATCGGGTGAGTTGGCGGATCTTAGGATAGCAATGCGCTGGCTCGGAGTGATGGCTGTGATATTTCTGAGGCGCGGTAAATATTTGAGACATTCAATACAAACTTACTTTGGACGAACGACTGTCCTGAGAGACATCTTCATCGCAAGTACTACTATCAGATGGATGTAGCAACACAAATGGCTCAGTGACGTGCCCATGTTCAGCTGTAAATCAGCCTCTTCACCACGTCTTCAATCGCGCAAAGCTCTCCACCGCTATCATCACGAACTCACACTCCGCCGCTGCAGTCTACCTTCAAGGAGACGGAGCTTGACACAAACACTTACCACAAGTAGCAACAAGCTCCACTAGAATGGTTCATCACATCCATCCCAGGCAAACGTTCAGATCACCTACTTTGTATCCTTCACAGATACACGCTTGAACATGGTCTAGATGCCCTACGACGGCACATGGAAGCTCTTGGGGATCTTGACCTAAGATTTTATCACAAGCACGCCGTTCTCCTTTCTGACTGCGATGTCGCAGAGGGCGCTTACTTGTACACGGGATGGTGTTTATCTCCTTTTCCTACTGAGATTCTGCAAGAGTCGATTCGTACGCGTTTGGAGTGTTTGACAAAGCGAAAGGTAGCGGAGCATGATGACATCGCGAAGAGTGTGCGAAAATGGAAGAATGAAGTCGATGTACGAATATAGCGACATTGGAAGCAAAAGGAAACGAAGCGACAGATGCTCGAAATTGATTGTAGTGCGCCATGCTTTAATTACACGAAAAGGGGCTTTTGTGATATTCCAAGCCTCAAAAGCACAAGTCCCAGTACGTGATATCATTACCGTAGGCATATCATTACCACGAGCTGCGTTGGAATAGTGACGATCAGATAGATATAGACGAACAAAATAATGCGACTCTTCCTGGTCGACCCAATGTACAGAGCGAGCGCCAGTACACCGGGTAACGGGAGGAGAAGCATGGTGGTTCGTGGCAGATAAGCCGCGCTCAATGCCATCGCCAGAATACAAGTGACCATTGCGATGATAGATAGCTTGTGACTCTTGGTCCAGGGTATAGCATTCCACTCCTCGCCGGTTTCTCCGTTAGGAAGTAGTGGAGTAGTGTAGGAGATGGATCCTCCGCGCAGGTCTTTCATGATCCGTCGACGCAGGTTAGCTTCGGTGAACGCAGAGACGTCATCGCCCTCTTCCTTCGCGGGTTCACTGATCTGCTCTCGCATGGCAGCGGCAAGTTCGAAGACAGCTTTGTGTTCTCCTGCCACGTCTTCTTTTCCTCGCCCTCGCTTCTTCATGATCTTGTAGGCTCGCAGCCACATGATGTAGAGGCCAGAACTCCAGGTTATGTGGAGGATTATCATGATGAAGAGCTGGACATACGAGAATCCCCAGTTGTAGTCCTAAAAAGATTAGCCAAAGAGGCGTAGTTATTTACGGGATTCCCGTACCGACACAGCCTGGCAACTACCACTTCGTTCCAGATAATCTAAATTGTATGTGTGATTATCATATGCCCACACCAGTGCTGATGAATCCAAGGTCACGCGAAAGTCTTCGTTCCGGTAATCTCTGTTAGGCCTCCCAACCTTGTCGTCAAGTTTTATCAAAGAGAGGGCTGAGATGTTGAGGACTGGGGGCGGTAAAGAGAATCCCCGGAAGGTCGAGTTTGTCATATTCACCCCGTTGAGACCGAATTCTGCAGCGTCCATATATACGTCAACGACATTCGTACTGTTCCAGGTAGTGTAGCTTACACTTAGATACGCTGCGTACCATGTCACAGCGTTCACGGTCCCGGTCGATATCGTAGCACGCGCGAAACCTCTCACCAAGAGTGTATGTTGATGAGGTCATTGGCTCGTTGCCGAGGGATTCTGATCAAGGCGCGTTAGAACTCATGATCAAGCCGACGTCGAGTCTGGCTTACTTGCCTGTTACGAGATGATCGCCTTGTAGTTCGTCAATGCGCCAACCATCGTGAATGACGAAGTACGCAAAGCCAAACGAGCCAAAAGGCACGTACTCCCCAGCTGTGGAATTTATGAAGGCCTCAACATTTGCGCTATAACCAGTCATTGCGCTGGCGAGGGTTGGATATATGAATGTAAAAATCATGGTATATATCATGAAGATCATGGCTATCTTGGAATGTAAGCCGTGCCGCGTGACGAAGTCTCGTATCGTAGATAGAATGGCAAAAAACAAGCCACCGTTCGGTAGGAACACAGTTCGATATGTTCCAAAAGTGACAGGCGTAACTTCCATGGAGGTCGTGACATATTTGGCAATTATGCGCCATGAGATATACGCGATAAGTGCTTGACCACCGCGGCCAACGAGCTGCATAATAGTTAGCCGTCTCATGCTGAAATGTCCGCAACTACCCAACTCGAGGAAAAATGCAACTTACGATATCCCAGCTAACATCTATGGCCTTCACCTGCGTGAAGTTCATGCGGCCCGTCGCCATTGTGATCTGGAAAAAGCCCGAGCTGCTCAAGTATCGCCAATTTGAGGAATCCATCGCGAAGGAATCATCGGGTAAACAGGCGCCTGGTGAACCAAAGCCCACGGGCTCAGGAGATGATAACCAGATGAGACAAACCCATAGCATGGCGTTCCATGCTGCGATAAACAGCCAAAGTCCACAGCGTCGCCATCGTGCGCGGATGTCCCTAGCAGCTTGCCGGTGGCTTTCACACCATAGTGTCCCAAAGCGTGGTAGAGGTGTGATGAGGTTGGAAGAGATATGGGAGATTTTTGGCGGCACCGTGAGATCGTGAAGATAAGTCCTCATCATCCACGCACTACTGTATCGCAAATGTGCATGCGATGCAAATGACCAGTTTCCTAAAGCACTGGAGCGGAGACTTGGTAAATGAACAAGGAGACTGCGCGTTCGCGAGTACCCATGACTTTTGTGATAGACTGGGCGGAGTCGCGTAGTCGATCTTCTGCTGACTGCAGCACCGCCCCCCTCAAATTTGGGGGCGGGTTTCGAGGTTTAAGGCGTACCAGCGCCTATGAGGAATGCCAACCGAATATATCGATCGATAAGGCTAATGCATCATAGGCCGCCCTCAGTGATAAAACCCTGCTATGCCGCTGTGGCTGAGTGTCAGTGGTGTTATCGTGGTGGGCATGGTTGTTCTTGGAGTGGCGATCTGCGCGTCGCGTGCGACATGCTGGTAGAAGCCAGCCTTGCCAGGCAATTGACTCGAAAGGAAGTGCGTCGCAACGTATCTGTTCTACCGTAGTCAGCCGATGGGCTCGCAAAGCTGGGTGTGACGCGTGAATGGAGTTGGACGCGTCGCTTGGTAGAAGGAAAGAGCCGATGACGCGGTGGCACAGGCGCCACGATCGGCCCTTCCAAGATTACGAGCCATAACAAAACTAGAGATGAGAAAGATACAGCACTCGACTATGCTCGTCTCCAGTCGTCCATTATGATTGTCATTGAATGTCATGATAACTTCCCACCAGGCTCTCAACGCGCAACACACGTGCCTTTCGCTTCCAACCATCATCGCTCATCAAACAAAGGCCATCTCTGGCTTATGTCTCGCCACCTCTGCCTTCCGGATGTTGTGGTAGTCCATATCCCCAAGATCAGAGGTTGTGTTTACTGACACCAGCGGATCATCTTGCGATGCAGGTGGACTTTGCCTCTTACCACCCCAGATGAATGTTCTGACGGTATTCAATGTTCCTCCTAGCGGTCTCTGGGTGGCGATCCTCGGCGCGCTTGGATCCTCGTGCTTGCCATGGAGCGCGTCGCTTCGCTGGGGACTCCGCCCGCTGCTTCTTGAGGATCTGGAGAGCCTTAGCACCGACAGTATACGGTGCCCAAATCGCTGGAATACACTATCCTGCTTTCTTCGGTCATCATCGACAGGGTTGGTGATGAAGACTCCGCGGATAACAATGACGGACGCCATTATGAGCGCGACGCAGGATTCGACCATGAACCAATACGCAGCCCACACCGGTGCAGTTCCGAATGCTGCCGCCGTTGTTTCGGTCAACGAGCCTACGACCCGTATCAATGCGCAAACAACCATTACTGCCGAGAGACCCATCAAGGCCACGATTGATAGTTTCCGAGAAAATGACATCATCGACTGGTTTACGACGACAATAGGAACGGTAACAACTAGAAATAATGAGCTTTTGAACCGAGGTAATGAAGTTTCTAGCTGTATGACTTACTAAGAATATCGCCTATAATGTCAAGGACGCCAACGATGACGTTACCCGCGACACTTCTCTTATGCATCTGTGCATCGCCGCATTTAGCTGTATGAACTCAGTACTTCGGGTCTTAATAATGGACAAAACATTGACTGACCTGCGTCTGCACCAAAGTGTGCACATATGACGACAAAGTTGACTACGGCATAGATCCAAGCAATGACAAGAAAGCCTGCGGTGATCCAGAAAAATCGTACGACTCTGACCGACAGTCCAAGGGTCAGGCCATGGAAGAAGTACATGAAAGCAAATTTGACTAGATAAATGGAATTCCATCCGAAGATGGAGAATATGAACGCCCACTTGGGGATGTCCAAGATCGCAGGAATGTCCTCTCGGAATGGGATTGTCTTCCTTTGGTTTATGGCTTCGACGAGATAGAAAGGATTAAGAGCCTTGTGGACGCAGGCGAACGCCACTGCCAAACACAGCGACGATGCCAAGACGAGTCCGTCGTCCCATCGTATTTTCCGCCCTCCGAAGATGCGAATCGCGAAGCGCACGAATACGGAAAGAATGGCGAGCCCGAAAAGGAGTCCAGTTGTGATCTGATGTTTTTGTTAGTATTGAATCTATCGGCCAGCACGGGGAGTGCATACCACGAATGGTACTTTGTCGATTCTACCAGCATGCTCGATGGCATACTGTCTGCCAGGCACGTATTGCGCGGGTGGCAGCTTCGATGGATCAATCGACATGACCGGAGAGAAGCTTTGGTAGGATGAGATCTGAGTGAAAAGACTGAACGATATAGCTACAGACCTTCAGGCGGGACGTCGAGACATAATAAGCACATCGCAAGATGTGGGATCACAGGCGACTGCATAGAGGCTTGGGGCTGAGAAAACTTGGAAATAGTAATTGCATTCGGAACAGATAATTGCCTGCTCATCTCTTGCGCTAATCACTGGAGTCGCGGCTTCGTGTGCTGGATGGTGGTGACAGCCCGGAGCTGTTGCGTGTGGGGGCTATGACCGGTCGGCGTCGGGTAATGAAGCACGAATCACAACATCCCCAAAAAACCGACGACTCGGTAGCATGTTATTACCCGGCATGGGTAAAATCATTTCAGCTGTCGGGGTGCATGGCGTTGTAGTACAAGACTGCGGTGTTTGTGCTATAGATAGTGCTGACATGCATGATGCCCAAATAGGGCTAGCGCCCTACCCGTGCCGCCCCCAAGGCTACTTCCTCGTGCGCCTTGCACCTTCGGCGGCATTTCAACATCAACACTCGCGAAATCGAGCTCATCTACTCGTGCTTTTGTGCCGCCCTCGGCAATCTTTATTGCACGAAACGTGAGTAAGCATGACGCGGGTCAGCATGCCAGCCGTTATGGCTGTTGCCGCCGGAGCCTTGGTCATGTTTGTAGCCAGCTTAATGGCTAATCGGCAACACATCAAGAGGCTACAAAAGTCAGGTGCAGTAAGTCGACTCTTCGATATACCGCGGACGTACTTCTAATAATAGCCAGCCTATGCCAAAACACCATCCTCTGTTAGGTCATCTCATCGTGTTGAAAGAAACCATTCAGGACTTGCCTCGCAACACTGTAATGCATGTGGTAGTACGGCGGATAGCAGAGTCATTCCCCGGCGGCGTCTTCTATCTCAACCTATGGCCTTTCAACGCTCCTCTCATGGTGGTCGCAAACCCTTTTGTTGCATCGCAAGTAGAAGCTGCTTTCCTCAACAAGCCGCCCAACATAAATGCTACCTTGGAGGTCATCAATGGTGGTCCGTCTCTACTGACAATGGAGGGAAGCACGTGGAAGAAATGGCGAGCGCTCTTTAATCCAGGATTCGCTGCTGGCTACATCACAGGACTTTCACCTGCGATCGCCGAGGAAGTCTCAACTTTCTGCAAACTTCTCCAAGAACGCGCAAAGAAAAATGAAGTCTTTCCTTTGGAAGAGTATACTCTTCGGCTAACATTCGACATTATTGCACGTGTTACCCTGTAAGTTCACCATTCAGTACGCTTGCAACATGGGGCAACTGCTGAACATCGGACACAGTGGCTCACGTCTATACTACCAAACCCAAGGAAGCGCGCTCGCAGATTGTCTCCGAAGACAAGTCTACTGGACATCGTTCGGCACAACATTCAACCCGTTCCGTCGCTATCTCAATCCTCGCCCATTTGTTCAAAAGTACAACAATTACCGTATGAACCGATACCTCGATGAGGAAATCGACAAGCGCTTTGAAGAGTTGGCCAGCTCCCGCAAAGACTCATCTGGTGTTTCCCGCAAACAGTCGAGATCTATCATTGCGTTGGCCATGGACAAGTATCTCGAAGATGTAGAAGACAAAGATGAGATATCAGAATCGGTCTTCAAGCAGCTCGCGAAACCTCAACTTCGGTTGTTCCTTTACGCTGGTCATGATACTACGAGTAGCACACTACTGTACAGCTACATACTCCTCTCGCGTCACCCAGAGGCTTTATTCAAAGTCCGTGCAGAACATGACAAGGTGTTCGGATCAGACTTCTCACTCGACACCATCACTCGATCTATCGCGGACGACCCCTCACTACTGAATCAGCTACCTTATACCTTGGCCGTCATCAAAGAGGTTCTACGCATCTTCCCCCCCGCCGGTAGCATGCGCGATGGCCGTCCAGATGTCTTCCTATCAGATGAGCAAGGCCACCAATATCCCACAGACGGCTGTAACATCTGGACCCTCACCTTAGCCTTACATCATAACCCCGAAGTATTTGTGCAACCAGAAGACTTCATTCCTGATCGCTGGCTAGTCGACCCTGAAGACCCATTGTACCCGAAGAAAGCTTCGTGGAGAGCTTTTGAGTGGGGTCCCCGTGCATGCATCGGGCAGACGCTTGCGCAGTTGGAACTCAAGATCGCATTGGTCATGACTGTGAGGATGTTCGATATCACTCCGGCGTATGAGGAATGGGACAAATTGCATCCGAGGAAGGGTATCAAGACTGTTGATGGGAACCGAGCGTATCAGGCTGAGATGGGCGGTGGTGGAGCTCATCCGGTGGATGGGTTGCCGGTTAGGGTTACGCTGCGAGCATGAGCAATATTGTCGAAATTTCAGGCTATCTGGAAGAACATATTAGTCACTCTCTGTGATGCTAGGTAGAGAGAAGAGGTTTTACAGAAGCGCTCAGCGTTCTGGAGGCATGATGGAGAAATTCTGCCAAACTGCCACTTCTTTCACTCCAACTTTCACTTTCACCTTAATCTCTCGCTAAGCAGCGCTTCAATAGTGGGTCTTCTGGACCTCGCTTCTACTCAGTCACATCTTTGTCCATTACCTAATCTCGACACGACACCAGCAAAGACCGCAATGGCGACTTCATCGCCCCACGCGCATGTAGCGATGATGAAAGAGTAAGCGCATGTAATGTGCAGACTTAGGAAGGTGCGATGATGCTAATCTATGTATGTAGTTTGCGAACCTCGGGCAAATACTCCGACTTCACTATCACATGCGGCGGCGACACGCACCACGTCCACAAGAACATTGTCTGCTGCCGCTCTGGCTTCTTCGAGCGCGCGGAAAGGTTCCCTGCAGGTAGGGTAAGTGATTGTTCTCTCAGGCCGGCAAGAATGGGACTGATTCGGCAGTGCTGACACTGTATCAGGAAGCAGCTGAGAGCAAAGTTGATCTCCCCGAGGACGACCCAGCTATCGTGAAGCTACTCATCCAATTCCTCTACGAGAACGACTACGAAACCAAGGACTTGACAATCAAATCGGACACACGGGCCGCCAAAGCCCTACGTGCGAGTCGCTCGCCCAGCGACTTCGAGTTCCTTTTAGACTTCCCACATACGTGCAGTGGTGACTGCAGATATCCATTTCACGCCATCTGTCCACACCATTACTGTACTAATTGCAATGGCACTTGCGTCAACTTCGTGTGCGGGATCTGTGCCCCAATTCTTGAGGGGACCGAAATCAATCGTACTACGCTCCTTGTTCACTCAAAGATGTACGAGATTGCAGACAAGTACGACGTCAACGGCCTCAAAGATCTGGCGCGCACCAATTTCTCTGCACTCTGTGCGATATTTTGGGACAAGGATGTTTTTGCGCAAGCCGCGGAACATGCCCTCAGCAGCACTCCAGATAGCGACGATGGTCTACGCGAAGTAATCCGTCAGATTATCATTTCACATATCGAACTGCTCAACAAGTCAGACATTGCGGAATTGCTGAGCAAACACACCGACTTCGTGTTTAGCGTTCTCAGACGCGTGGCCGAAGAGAAAGCAGGCTTAAAGCCGAAGGCCAAGACGACCTCCTGAACGGGCTCGTGGTGATAAAAATCCCTAATTCGCAACATCAAGGCAAGCAGGCACATACGGCAGAGTAGTGAAGATTGGTGGAGGAAAGATAGATCCATTCCAGATATCTAACCTACCTCACATTGCGTTCCATATCAAGAGTAACGTACAGTACATCAACTTGTGTCCACTGAGATGGGAGACACATGCTCCATGTAGAAAACCAGACGCCGATACCGAACCCAACCCATTCCATATATCAGTAGACCCTCTTGGGTCATATTAACGATCATATCATGTCACATTTACTGGATAGCGACGCGCTCCTTAACCTTCTCGAACATAGACTCCATCTCCTCGGCGATGAAGTCCTCGATCTCTTGCTCAAGGTGCTGGAGCTTGCCTCCGGCGCGGTGAGCGGTGCGGCTGGCAGACTCCTTCGCGCTCTCGAAGTCACCCTCGATCTCGGAGAGAGAAGGGATGGTGATGGTGAACTCGGACTCCTCCTTCTCGGCAGCCTTCTTGACAGAGTAGCCACCCTTCTCAACAATCTCGGTGTAGTTGGAAGAGCCACCACCGTTCCAGGCGAGGACGTTCTTGGTGTTGCTTGGGACATCAGAGAGAGCACCGACGGTGGCGACGGAGATGAGATTCTCCTTGAGCTTCTTGGGGGTGATATCGGCGACAGCATAGGCAGAGTCCTTGCTAGGCTGAAGAGACAGCATGTAGGCGAGGAGACCAGCAATGTGGGGAGAGGCCATTGAGGTTCCAGAGATGGTGTTGGTGGCGTGCTCAGAGCCGATCCAGGTGGAGAGGATGTTGAGACCAGGGGCGAAGATGTCGTTGCACTTTCCGTAGTTGGAGAAGTAGGCACGCTCATCGAGGAGAGTGGAGGCACCGACGGTCACGGCCTTCTCAGCAGCGGCTGGGGAGTAGTTGCAGGAGTCGGCATTATCGTTACCGGCAGCGACGGCAAAGTGGATACCTGCGTCAACGGCAGCGTTGACAGCGAGGTCGAGGGTGGTGGACTTGCCACCTCCCAAGCTCATGTTGGCGGCGCTTCCCTTGAAGCCCTTCTTCTTGCCGTCCTTGGCGGCCTTGACGGTCTCAGAGTGAGACTTAGCAGCGTACTCAACACCCTTGACGACGTCGGACATGGTGCCGGAGCCGTTGGAGCGGAGGACCTTGACGGCGTAGACGTGCGCCTTCTTGGCAACACCGTACTTCTTACCGGCGACAGTGCCGGAGCAGTGGGTGCCGTGGCCGTTGCCATCCTCGTCGGCATCGCCGTTGGGGATGGTCTTGCCCCACTTAGCACGACCCTCAAAGTCAACGTGCTTGGTGTTTGTGCCGGTGTCGATGACGTAAACGTCAACGCCCTCACCACCGTCGGCGGCGTAGAGGTACTTGTTCCAGGTGCCGAAGCTCAGGGAGTCGCGGTGCGAGATACGGGCGAGACCCCAGGGGGAGTTCTTCTCGACTTCAGGTTCGTCGTGGCCGAGAGTGTGGACCTCTGAGTCGCGCTCGATGTAGTCGACCTATCAAGGTGTTAGCGCCAAGTCTTATGCAGGTACAAGTACCTAGATGGCGTCACGTGTGCTGATGCGGAGCCGGAGCTGCCTGCGGAGATGAGGCCGCCCAGGCAGCGCTCACTCTAGGCCACCAACGCGCTGACGCCATCTGGGATGATGCAAGCTGGTAACAGCTGGGGATAGAACTTACATCGGGGTGGTTCCTGATGGCCTCGATGGTCTCGTCGTCGAAGTGGCCAGAGTAGCCCTTCATGCCGGCCATCTCGTAGACGTGCTTGAGACCATCGAAGACCTCAGTGGTAACGGGGAACTGCGAGGAGCGCTTTCGCAGCTCCATGCGCTCCTCGTTGTTCTTGGTGTGGACGCTCTGGACCCAGTCGTGGTGCTTGGAGGCATCCTTGACGTGCTTCTTGAAGACGACCATGTAGCTGTTGGGCACCTCCTTGGCGGAGGTCGACGACAGCACTGGGGCGGCGTTCTTGTGAATGGTCTCTACGTTGAAGGTAGGCGACGCGGCGGCCAAAGCCGGTAGCGCGAAGACCAGGCTGTACTTCATGATGGCGGAGCTCGCACAGCGAGAACTAGAAACACAAGGGTAAAGGGGATGCAAGAAGCGTGATAGATGAAGGAAGGGGTGATGGGAGGGAGGAGAGTGTTGTGGAGGAGAGATGGGGATGCAGCTGGGGTAGCTCTGGCGATGGAGCTTCTTATCAGGACCTCGGTGCATGGCCCGGGCGCGCTAGGTGGATGACGCATGACCTATCCGCGCCCGCGCGAGTGAGGCTGGGGTGAGCTAGCGCACGCGCCATGAGTATCAGATGAATGATACACGGTTGGTATCAGGACACCCGAGTGCCCTGAGATGCAGAGGCTGGCTGTGTTGGTGGAGCATGGCTTCACATATGGGTTACTGGGAGCCAACGTTGCTCTGACATGTACTGAGGTAGTTATCGATATGCCAAAGCAGGTGTGCCAGCCACACCTGGGCAATGCGTGCTCACGTGAGAGGCAATAGTCAGGAGCGCACCATGCGGCCCGCGTGAGACAGAACGCGTGTTTATCATAACTATGTTGGTAGGCGATATGCACAGCTCCTAGTGCTGGTGCATTGTTTATCAGTACCTTGCTTTGCGGCGACTTGACGTTGCTCGGCGCGTGCAGCGTGGGAGCCTGGCTGAGCTCTGGACTGACAGGGATCAGCTTCGATGACCAGCTTAGCAGCAACCACGACGAGCGCGGAGCCCGCCCGCCGTAATCAGCCCTCATTGTGCGCCCGCCCACCACCAAACGACACGACTAGTATTCCCCGCAAGTCGAGGTCTCATGTGCGGGCTTGGGGCTCGGGAGACATGAAGGTGCTACCCGCGCAGCCATCACCTCCGCCCAAATTCCGCAGCAGCGGTCTCGCCTGAACATGGCGACGACGCGGCCGCACAGGTCCTCCACGGCCGCCTCACGACTGCCGCCGATGAATAACCAGATAGCCGAACTCCGAAGCCTAGCGGATGAGTTGATCAGGGCCTCCGAGACCACACCACCGACCTCCGACGTCCTCCACAACCAGAGCAACGCCCTCCGCCGCATGCGCCAGCTGCTGATCGAGTCCAACGACCAAACCCATACCAAAGACGCGTTCCGCCATGTCCGCGGCTTCGAGACCCTCCTTATTACCCTGCGCTCGCTCTCCGGCTTCTACAAACCCGCCGAGCTGCCCACGCCCGACCGCATCGACTTCTTCGAGGTGATCAAGGGCACACTCGATGTCCTGTCAGACGCGCTGAACGAGCATGCCGGTAACAGGCGCTTCTTCGCCAAGCGCGTCGAGCACGGCGGCTGGAGTGCTTTGGAACAGGCCCTGGCCAGCACTGGCATTTTTGGCGGACAGTCGCAGAGCAAACGTGACGATGCCGGCCAGGAGCAGCTTTTCGGCACCCTGTTCGCCTTTGCCTTGGGCGAGGAGACCATGACACGCATCTTCAGGGATATTGATAAGAAGGTCGAAGTCGCACAACCCAAGCAGGACGAGGACGCAGCAGCCAGCGGCGACTCGCAGCCTACTGTGATCGTAGTCTCTAGCCCGCGGTCCGTGTACAGCGATACCGATCTCGATCTTGACCCACTACGCAGCCAGGTGCGGGCTATATTCAGCGGCAATGAGATACTGCAGAATCCAGACATCATTCCGACCATCTTCCACTTCTGGCGGGGTCTTTCTGGTGAAGATGCCCCGGGCACGCGCTCCAAGGCTCTTTCCATATCGGTGCTGCTTGCCATACTGGAAATCACTTCCATCTCATCTTACAACAAAGCTGCGCTGCACGTCACTGGCGTCTTGAGCAGTGTCCTACCCCTGCTCTTTGAGAACAAGTGCGCTCCTATAGAAGCCAGCCTCTTGCAAGAGCTGGCCGACGACCTAATTCAGTACGGCATCAACAAGCTGGACGATGCATACTACCTCTTCCGCAAAGCAGCGTCTTCTGAATCAGCTGCTGAGTTTCTCTTGCGTGGTATGCGCTCCTCCCGCGACCCGCCCTTCATACAATTCGATCTATCCTTGCATGGCTTCAGCGCTGTTGAACTTCCAGACATTGGTCGTCCATTCCCACCCATGTCCCCAGGAGGCGGATATACGTTTGCTGCTTGGGTAAGGGTCGATAGGTTCGACGCCGACTGCCATACCACTCTCTTCGGCGCATACGACGATACACAAACGTGTTTCCTCATGGCATATCTGGAAAGGGATACACGTTGCTTTATCCTGCAGACTTACATGGGTCATTCTACTGGTGTCATACCCAGTGTCAGATTCAAGAAAGCTCCTCGTTTCGAAGCAGGCCGGTGGTATCACATCGCTGTGGTTCATCGAAGAGCCAAGACTATCGGTATCGGCGCTGCTAAGGCATCTCTTTTCGTCGATGGTGAGTTCACCGAGACTATGAAAGCCCACTACCCTTCGCATCCTCCGTTACTGGATAGCAGCCAGGATAGCTTTGCCTCCATGTCTTCTAGCGTGTCCAAACACCACATACTCGCGTTCTTGGGAACACCACGGAACTTGGCGCCTCGGCTGGGTAGAAACGTCATTACCTCCAAGCTCTCAGTCGCCTCCTTCCATCTATTCTCTGAACCGCTGTCAGATGAGCTGATCGCTGTATATCATAAACTTGGCCCGCGTTATTGTGGAAACTTCCAAGATAGGCTCGGGTCGTTTCAAACCTACCGTACCTCTGCTGAGCTTCATGTTCACAACGAGATATTACATCCTGGGAGAGAGGAACGATCCGACATCGTAGCAGCTATTCGGGCCAATGCAAGCCATCTCATGCCTGAATCGAAGATAATACTGAGCTTCTCTCCCAGTTCCGTAATGGACGACGATGACAGAAATGCCATCGATGAATCCCAACTAATCCGATCACTATCACGCGAATCAGCTAAAACTCTGCATAAGTATACCAGACTTCATAGTACTCCGATCATCATCAATGC